GCTTCATCTAATGAATTTATATGTTGAATTGAAGTTTTTATTCTAATATACATACGTGAAAACGATTCAAATTAAATTAATAAATATAATTACTTTGAAGAACCATCCGAAAATATTGAACTAGACATTTTCTTTTGGTAAAGAGATAATAATAAAAAAATGTATGCGTCACATATATTGTTATCATGAGTCATAACTAACCAATCCAAATAAGATTTTTCGAAAGAACATTGGAATGAAAGGATATCTATCGACATGCAACAAGTATTCATTGTAGTATTTATTGTCAATTTAATATTTCATTGTTCGACGTGAATGATATCAGAATATATTTTAACTATTAAAAGTGCCGCGAAAAATCGAAAAAAAAATGTATTTCATATTGAAAAGCAATTAGAGCATGACGATTTTGTTAGAATTGATATATTGTACAGCAGACAAATGATATAAGTTTTCAGAACATTATGAGTAGAGTCAAGAAATATTTTCTATTTCATCATATTGTCTTTAAGTTTACATAGAAAACATTGATTTTCATTATCATTTTCAACTAACGTGGAATAACTTTCTTGAAAAACGGAAAAAATGATTCATACTGGTTAATTCACTAATCCTTGTTAGTATTAGATATAAATATAGTTCCGGCATCTATTATAGTAATGATAGATAATGAATAATGAAAATATTGTTAGATTATTCATAAATCTCAAACTTGCAAGTTGAATTCAAGTATTGAATAGTTGAAACGTGTGAAGTTGAATTTTAAGTGTTTGACTATTCAACTTGTCAATTCAAATATAGACGTATTCAACTTTTCAACTTGTTTCACTGCAAAAACACGCACATAGAGGCATCTCTGTGAAAGTGGATGCCACGGAAGCACATACACACGTAATCTTTCTCAATGAGGATACTATTGAAACATGCACAGGACATTTTCCTTAGTCTTTAATGGACAATGGTAAAAATATGTACTTAGAGCATTCCAAAATTAGTGAGAGTGACACTTTAATATTACATAGTAAGTTTGATAAATCTTTCTTTCTATATAGAGTGATAGAAAAAATAATGCTCTATCTTTCTATGCTATTCGATCAATATTCAACTAATATCATAATAATAAAATTTCGATGAGAAATATTTTTGTGTAAAACTTAACTATAATATTGGATCATAACAGGATCTGTAATAATAGCAAAACTTTGTATTTTATATTTAAATCCCTAAAAACATTTTATTAAAAAAAACAGGATATATCACAAGATGCAGTATGAAAAGCTGTACAATCTACAAAGTAAAGTTTATTTTATAGTATATTTCTTCTTTCCAAAAAAAAGAAAAAAACCTATGCGACTTATCTTTAACGCTACGAAGAAGGTCGTTTTTCTTGGTACGCGAATAATTTCTTTTCTTCTTGGCGTTGAAGGTTAGTCGCATAGGTTTTTTTCTTTTTTTTGGAAAGAAGAAATATACTATAAAATAAACTTTACTTTGTAGATTATACAGCTTTTCACACTGCATCTTGTGATATATCCTGTTTTTTTTAATAAAGTGTATTTAGGGCTTTAAATATAAAATACAAAGTTTTGCTATTATTACAGATCCTGTTATGATTTAATATTATAGTTAAGTTTTACACAAAAATATTTCTCATCGAAATTTTATTATTATAATATTAGTTGAATATTGATCAAATAGCATAGAAAGATGGAGCATTATTTTTTCTATCACTCTATATAGAAAGAAAGGTTTATCAAACTTACTATGTAATATTAAAGTATCATTCTCACTAATTTTGGAATGCTCTAAGTACATATTTTTACCACTGTCCATTAAAGACCAAGGAAAATGTCCTGTGCATGTTTCAGTAGTATCCTTATTGAGAAAGATTACGTGTATATATGCTTTCGTGGCATCCACTTTCACAGAGATACCCTTATGTGCGTGTTTTTGCAGTGAAACAAGTTGAAAAGTTAAATACTTCTATATTTGAACTGACAAGTTGAATAGTCAAACACTTAAAATTCAACTTCTCACGTTCCAACTATTCAATACTTGAATTCAACTTGCAAGTTTGAGATTTATGAATAATCTAACAATATTTTCATTATTCATTATCTATCATTACTATAATAGATGCTGGAACTATATTTATATCTAATACTAACAAGGATTAGTGAAGAATTAACCAGTACGAATCATTTTTTCCGTTTTTCAAGAAAGTTATTCCACGTTAGTTGAAAATGATAATGAAAATCAATGTTTTCTATGTAAACTTAAAGACAATATGATGAAATAGAAAATATTTCTTGACTCTACTCATAATGTTCTGAAAACTTATATCATTTGTCTGCTGTACAATATATATGAATTCTAACAAAATCGTCATGCTCTAATTGCTTTTCAATATGAAATACATTTTTTTTCGATTTTTCGCGGCACTTTTAATAGTTAAAATATATTCTGATATCATTCACGTCGAACGATGAAATATTAAATTGATAATAAATACTACAATGAGTACTTGTTGCATGTCGATAGATATCCTTTCATTCCAATGTTCTTTCGAAAAATCTTATTTGGATTGGTTAGTTATGACTCATGATAATAATATATGTGACGCATACATTTTTTTTTTATTATCTCTTTACCAAAAGAAAATGTCTAGTTCAATATTTTCGGATGGTTCTTCAAAGTAATTATATTTATTAATTTAATTTGAATTATTTTCACGTGTGTACATTAGAATAAAAACTTCAATTCAACATATAAATTCATTAGATGAAGC